GGTGTAATATGTCTGGAAGGGAAGAGAGAGAGAGAGAGAGAGAGAAAAGACAAATGCTGGCAACAACGATGATCGAGCGCCTGCATTTGGTCGTTTTGGTTAAATTCGTACTTGGTTCCATAAGCGATTTATAACCGGCGTTGTGTTATTTTGTCTCAGTTTGCATTGTTCAGTGCATCAATTTTGATTAGTGAATAACTTTCTGAGACCAAATTACCCTCAATTTTTATTTCCATCATTTTATTTTATTTTTTTCCATCTTTTGTTTTCTGTGAGTAAACGTCGTGCACGAAAATAGTCGTCGAATCCTCATCAACCTACATAAAAAACGAAATTGTAATCGTTTTGTTTAAGCTTTCAATAATTTCGTTGGCAATTTTCGTTCGCTGCGCAAGCAGCTTGGAAAGACATCAACATGCCAAACAAAATTAAACACACGGTTCCCATCGAAAAGATAAAACTTGTTCACGTTCCAAAGCTGAAGCCAGGGTCAATGTCGCTATCGTTCAATTTGTTGCCACATCAAGCGCAATGAACAGCAGTAGATACTCATCGCAAATTTTCCTATTTGAAATATTTTCTCAAACGTAAAACTTGACCAACATCACTGACAGAGACGACGACGACGACGACGACGTTAATAATGGATGCGAGGAAAGCGACCAAAGAAAAACGCGTTGAAATTGAAAGTGAACCCATAGCCACGCATCAAAACGATGAACGATCATAAATTTTCCAGCGATAAAACGGGCCAGTGAAGTGATCGAGTGTACGATCGAGAGTCTGTCGATGAAAAACGATTCACTCGTTTGCATCAACTTTTTTTTTCTCGTGACCGAAACTCCAAACGCTCTGGCTAAATATTGGTTTTAAATGTGAAAACCACGCAAAAATACGTATGCGATCTGGATTCTATATTGATGGAGAACACACCGCGAGCGGTCATTGAAACTCTTGCTCCTATCTACACTGCGCTCTATCCATGCGATGGCACTTGTTTCTGACGCTGTGCACCCGACCACTAAATATATAGTGCACACATGTATGTGTGTTGCTGACATCCTTTAATAAAATGAAAACAATGTATTTTCACTATTCCAACATGATGAACAAAAAAATACTTTATTTTTTAATTTATTACTCTGAAATTACGGTTATTAATATGGTGTGTCTATTTTTGTTTCTCGATTTAATACATCAAACAAAGTTCACGACTCCCACCGGACTTATCACCAATTCAAAACTGAGTTTAATAGTTTGTAGCTTGGCTTCACGTTTTAGTTGTGTTTGAGAATCCCCGATTCGAGAGGCACAGCAAATCTGTCTTCAAGCGAAGACACTTCGTAGAATTCCGGCCGGGATTCAAGAAGTTATTAGCATATAAAAAAGAGATAAATAGAGAACATTTTTAAGAGCTGCATAAAAATTCGTTTCGATTCAGTTCATGCTTTTGCAACACAATTTGCCCGAGTTTTCATCCAGTTTATTCGTTTGTTCTTTCTTCGGCGGCAATAAACGAAGAAATAAATTTACTTAATTCCATTTTGTCGCCGTGCGATTGCAACGCAAGCGAAATAATTAAAGACAACAAAGTCTAGACTCGGTATTCGATTCAAAGCATTGTGACTACAGTGATTATTGCAGCCATGGATAATGTATATGTCTGATACACGCTTAACAGAGTCATTTTATTAAACTCGAAATCTATGTAATCAAACTGAAAGCAGCTTTCCGGCAAATTGCATTTATAAATGGTTAGAAGAGTGGTGAAAAGTAAAAGTTAGCACAGAAAAAAACTTGATCGAATGAATAATGACGAGAAAAAAGTGAAGGTGAATGAAAGATGAAATTGGCTGACACAATAAACTCCATGCGAACTGCAGTGAGACTCTGCTAATTCATACGAAAGGCATACGATTCGCATTTTAAAACTGAAAGAATAACAAAAATGCCTAAGTCTTCGCATCCCTTGTTTGCCTATTCCCATTTCATAGTGTATTTTAATCCTGTTGCCGTCCACGATCTTCAATTCATTTGTACGTACTTAATGGCGCATTTTGTTGATTTAGCAATGAACTTTAAAAGCTGTAAACAAAAAACATATATCCCATAAAGTTAAAAACAAGTAAATTAATGGATAATAAATTACATGTGTATACGCGCGCCTTGCCATCAAAAAGTCAATCGTATTCCAGTTCATTTCATTTTTCTCTCTCTCTCTATCTCTCTCTCTCTCTCTCTCTACGTTACTCGGCTATGTAGCGTCCAAGTACGCCAATTGTTATTGAAACTCTTTTAATTTGGTGTTTCATTTCAAATCTTGTCTTGCCAGACAATCTGAGTCATTTACTAGTCGGTTTACATCGATGTGTGTATGCAATGCACGAATTCCACATTGAACATAATGGAATTTTGGCCAAGAAACACAGTCTGCAGCAAAACTAATTTGAAACCGCCTTTAAAACAACACCGATTTCAACTGTTTTTGTCATATTTATGCGCACACTTGGCCAACGACATGAATCCGTATTTTGACAAATATTTCGTGCAACATTCTTTCGAGTTTTATGAATAATAATGTAGTTTCAATTGCGATTTGCAAATGTTCTAAACGTTTTTTGCTGCTTATTTCGTTTGTTTGTCATGTGGCTGCCGAGAGAAAAAAAAATGTACAAATGTATGTTTCAGCATTTTAATCGAATTATGCGTTGAATGCACAGTACATTTCTCAACTATGCAGTTATGTCACGGCTTTTTTTCCGTTGGACTTTTTTCTTTCTTCGAAAAGCCATTTGTTACGCATTTTCGTACCCACGTTTCTCAATTTGCATGTCATTTCATGCATGTGTAATGTGTGTATGCTGGTTCTTGAACACAACAAACTGAAAGATATCAATGCATCATCAAGCGACAAGCTCATAATTTTCATTTTGGCACCATAATAAGAACGTAAATACAAAGCCAAAGCAATCACTTTTTTCCATTCTCTCTCTCTCTCTCTCTCTCTCTCCCCTCAAAATGCTATGGAACATAGTATTTTTTGTTATTCTGACTAATTTGTAAATGAACAGTTTTTTTCTTCTTAAGTCGCGATTTTTCTGTCTGCTTTCGTATATGCGCGCTTTAAGCAAATAATCCATAAATTATATGCCTATCGAATGGATTCAGTCGAACGGAGGAAAATAGTCGCGAAAAATGAATAAAAACCAAAGAGGATTAACAACAACAAATAAAAGTGAAGACCCATCGTATGCATCTCGAGCGCACCGGCGCGCGCTTGTGCGTTCGCACAAAAGAGTAAAAATTTATTAAATTTAATATTTATGGATGAAGAGAGGATAAATGGAATAGATTGGACAATGATAGGATAGGCAGGCAGACATTTAACGTGCGCCCGCCTTATTTACACAACCACCACCTGAAGGCATTAGCGAAGCAATTAATGCAAAAGTTATTTTCAAACCGTCTTTGCTTTTGCTCTCCCTCTTTTTCTGCCCATTTTGTAAAGTTAAGCGAAAATTACTTAATTCCTTGGTGAACTTCAATTCCACCAAAAACCCGACCAAACAATATTATCCCGTTGAAGACTTCCACTTACTTGAAGTTGTGTGTGTGTGTGTCTGTGTGTGTGCAAGAAAAAAAGAGTGCTCGAAGCGTTTAAATGGCCATTCATCCGATCCGATGTCTGGTGCTAATATTGTGTCAATAGAAAGAAAATCACACTTTGGATTTTTCTATTTTGTCTTTTCCATTCTTCCGTTGCCGACCGTGTGGCTTCGTGAATTTAATTTTCTGTTCGATTCTTTCGAGGTGTTAGCTAGAATTTTCAAGCCTTTTGTCCGAATAATTTATGGCCGGTAACATTCGATAAATCTTCACGTCTTTTTTTCTACGTTCAAATGAGCAAAACGCGAAACGAATAAACTATTCAATATTGCTGCAACCAAAAGCCATTATCACAGAAGTTATTGTTTGAATGTGGTTGCTGCAGCACCAACAGCTTGTGATTAACTCGCGCAAGGCAACACAAAACAATCGGCAAGGCAAATTATTCACACAACACACAAACACACACACACACAAAGAGAGGTGCTTGTGCATAGTGCGCACGATGCCTCCGGTATGGTCAACACACAAACATCGGATGAGACATCGTTTATTTGTTATTCATAACTTGGGGCCATTATATTTTTGAGTGGATTTGCCGTGATCGAAACGCACGTTTTTTTGCACCGTGTACCGTGCACCATGCACACACACACACACACACACACCGCATTTCCGAATGCGAAATTAATTGCATTTCAATGAATGTGCTTGTTAGGTAATTTTTCTTGTTGTTTGCATCTTTCTTCTACGCCATGCCATGATTCCTCTGTCTGTCGCGTCTCTCGTAGTCTCTTCCTATCGTGATTCAAAAGAAACCAACAAATTGAACGAGCATTAACATCGTTTGCACTTTCTTCACCAACACACACACACACACACACACACCATTCCTATGGAATATTATTTATATTCGTCGTTCATTCAACGCTTTAATTTTGCATTATTTCAAACGGCGCTAGAACATTAATCTAAACCATTTTAATACATTTTCGGGCGTTATTAAAATCCAACATATTTTCCAAACATTTATCAAATGGTCGATATACTTACTGGAAAAGGTGGATTTTTGCAGTGAATTTATCATAAAATGTGTCATTGAGTGAATGACCGCTTTGCATAAATGCATCGGCACACAGCCATGTGCCGATAATTCGTTCCAAATGAACGGCACAATGAATGCATCTGTTTACAGCAAACAAATCGAAATTAATATTGTGCAAAAATGTCATTCTCATTAAAGCGTTCATACGCGAGCACACTTGTGAGCTACGGGAAAGAGAAACGGAGAAACAATGAACGAACGATGAACGAATGAACAAAAAAAAAAACCAAATCGCACACAACCAACACACCGACACCAACGAAATGAGAGCTGTCAAATAATATTTCGTATTCATTTAACTTGCGATACAAATGTCAAACTCACGAGTGTCGAACTGATGAGTGTGGTTTTCCAGTGGCTGGAGGAATAATAATAATTTGCTTAAAAGCAAATGATTCATCTGAAAAGGCAATATTTCGATTTTCAACTGAAACAATTACGAACAAAAGGTAAATCACATAGTTTTTTATCATTCATATTAACTATTCTTGATTTGCAAAGAAGAAGATTGTGAAAGGTGAAGAAAAAAAAACTTGTGTGTACATTTTGTTTTTTGCAGAGACGGTGCACAATGCATGGTGTTGATTCGTTGTGTTTGGACAACGTGGAAAAGTGTGCAAGTGGTGACAGTCCAATTTATTCACTGAATAAAACCGTAATGCTGCCGATAGAAGAACGATGTGATGAACCGACCAATTTAACGCTGTTCAATTGTACCGAAGAGGAATATCTACTATATCAACGTGGTGATAGAGTTGGGAACTTGTCAATCGCAATTCCAGCCACTATTGCCTACACATTCATTTTGCTGGCTGGATTGATTGGAAATATAACCGTTTGCATTATTATCATCAGAAATCGCGAGCTACACACCAGCACCAATTACTATCTATTCAATTTGGCCATTGCAGATTTGCTGTACATGTTGCTCGGGTTGCCGTTTGAAATATACATGTTTTGGCATCAATATCCGTGGCCGTTCGATTTGAGTTTTTGCAAAATTCGTTCACTCTTTTCGGATGCATGTTCGTATGCATCGGTATTGACAATCGTGGCATTCTCGGTGGAACGGTATTTGGCCATTTGTCATCCATTTTCGTCGTACGTAATAGCAAGTTTGCGTCGTGTCCTGTATGTGATTGCAGTGATTTGGATATTTAGCTTAATCAGCGCAGCACCGGTTGCCTACTATCGTCACATACGATACCTTCGTTATCCACCGCCCGACGGACCAAATATGCCCGAATCAGCCGTTTGTACACTCAACTCTAATTTCAAGGGACTCTATGAAATATCAACACTCGTGTTTTTTATCATACCACTAACGGTGCTGATCATCATGTATCATCAAATTGCAACGAAACTGAATATGCGCGAAGAAAACCATAACAATGGACAATTCAGTGCATGCGCCAAAGACGATACCAAAACCAAACAGTTACGTGCAAAAAAGAAAATTGTTCGTATGCTTGTTGCCATTGTTATCACATTTTTCATTAGCTGGGCACCGTTCCATGCGCAACGTTTAGTGTTTGTTTACGGTCGAGATTGGAGTAATTACTATGAGATCAACGAAATGCTGTTCACAATTGCCGGCGTTTTTTACTATTTATCCTGTACAATCAACCCGATCATTTATAATGTCATGTCGCATCGCTATCGGGCCGCATTTCGACGCACATTTTGTTGCGAACACGATACTGGGAAAGCATCAGTCACATAAAATATTCGGGCCCATTGAATTGAATTACAATTAATTTTTCGCATCTTTTGTTATTGTTGTTGTTGTTGTTGCTGAAAATTTCGATTTTCAGAAGAAGAATAATAAAAAAGAAAATACATGAACAAGTGACCAAGCATTTTTTAATTCATACCTTACCTGATTTAACGGACTTTTGTTAATAAGATATTTTTCGATGAATTATTCCACATCAATTAAATAATGACATGAAAATGTATTCACGACTTTCAAGTGAATATAATATTTGATAGCCCGGCCTAATAACCGAATCAGTTATAAAAAAATCATACGCAAATTGACAGTTTTCTAGAGAAAATCATTTGCACCGTTTCAACAGCTTAGGTTATTACACCATCGATTTACGACCATGCAAAATCGAGAAAGAAACAACAGAATTTTATTGATTAGTACCCGATGGCGGCATCCATTTTCTTCATTTCTTTCTCATTTTTCTCTGGTAAAGTTTTGAAATGGTCAAACGGTAACACTGTTGAATGGAAATTTTAAAGTGGCAAACTATTAAAGCTAATCAAGTTTCTTCGTATCGATTTGCTCGATCAAGCGTTTCAAACTACTTCTGGTTCCCGTTTATATTTCAAATCGCGTCAGGTTTTTTTCAGGCTGAAATCCAATTCGAACAAATAATTTATAGATTTACACTCCAAAAAATAGGAAAGTGAATGAATAGTGAAATTTTTTCTGCTGAAATCCGTTAGCTGAAAGCAACTGTATGGAATAAGAAAATACATAAGGCAAGTATTGATATTATCACATAATATTTTTATTATTGGACCAAAAATATTCTCTTCTTAAATTTTTTATCTCTAACCCAGAATTTAGACATTTTTTAATATAAATTCAGAAAAAAAATCGAAATTTTAGATTTTTTTTATACATTTTCATTTTTTGACAGAAAAGGAGTTGAGTTATTCGAAATAGGCAATGGAGAAAGATATTCAATTACACAAGATAGAGCACATCAATTGTTGGGAAAAGTTGAAATATCGCATTATTCTCCAATCGATTTCACTTTCATTATGCTCAGTACACAAAAATAAATGCAGAGTAATTCTTTAGTTTAAATTTTCGATTTTTCATAAGTAAATCACAATTGCCTGTTCAATGTACGTGTACATGTAGATATTACAATAAAATTGATTACTGTTTGTTGTGTGCGCGTAATCAACTGCAATTCAATCATTTTGGAATTGTGTATATTTCCGTAAATATTTGTGATTTATGCCTATTGAGCCGCGAGCGATAAACGTTTTTTTTTTTGTAAACAGAACACATCTCTGACTATCCGTGGTAGTATAAAATGAACAAAGCAAATTTATTAAAATGAAAATCGGCATTTTAAATGGTTGTAGCGTAGACACGACACACTTAAACAATTTCTTTGTGGTTTTTAAGCTGCGATTAAGGCAACAACAGCAACAACAACAGCAGCAGCTCATTTTTGTGACAACTATGGAAGCGTTGTGTTTGAGAAAAAGTTTATTCCTTGCGGTTGCACCCAGTAAAAAATGTGAATATTTTTTTCTCTGCTTCATGTTTGTCATTTGACATGAAATGCAGCCACCGCCTTTCATTTATCATGGCACACAATCTGTTCTTCCCTGAATTTCGACCGAATGCAAACGAAACGGTGTGCAACGGGGGGAAAAATAGCATGGCCAACGGTATGGTATGGCCGAGGCCGTATGCCGAAAGTGGTTTGCTCTTTCTTAATTATTTCGTAAGTGCATTTATCAAGTTTTGCGATTTAAAGAATTTATTGAGTCATTGTTATCCCGTTCGATTCTGGCCAATACACTCTCGCTCTCCTTCTCTCTCTCTCTGTGCATATACTTTTTACATGGCGCTCAATCGTTTGCGGCATTCTCCGTTGGTGTTTTTATATGTTCATTCCGGCATTGGTGGTGTAAGCAAAAGCGCAATTATATACGGAAAGAAGACAAGAGGAGAAAAAACTATAAACTCGGTGGAAAAGAAGTAGGAACAACAAACTGAAACAAAAGAACACCAACTGAATGTTGTACAAAGAAAGAAAGGGCGAAAGAGAGACGTATGCGACAATCAGAGCGAAAAGTACGGCCATTAATATGAATAATCAGTTAAATATGGTGTGTAGGTGTCAAACAGTTTTGCCGTTGTTTTTTTTTCCGCAATTATCCAACTTATCCGTTCATCGCGCAAAATTAAAACAAAAAACTTCCCGTTGCTTGTTTTTCTCCGTGCATTCTTATACTGTTTGCCAAACACTTTACGGCAAAGGTACTTTGCCTTTTTTACAATCGATTAACCAGAAAAACGAATTGATACATACAAATGCTTTATAACAACGATTACCAAACATTTCGATTTGATTGCACCGTTTGCACTCGACCGTTCGAACGCAACGAGAATTAAAAATGCAGGATTCACCAGAAATAAAGACATCAAGACTACGTAATGTGTTTGCTAACATTCAAGCGGCTTTTCGTGGAATGGATGCGCAAGAGAGACACACACACACACTTCAACCGATTGTTTTTGAATAACATTTCAAAAATGTCAAAACGAACGGGTCTACCAAAACTTCTTGGAAACGAACTTGATTCCATAAAAATGAACGGGAAACGATCACTTATGTGAGATTAAGAGCATTTCGTATGCAGAAGGCAAGCAAGCGAAAAAGAACCAATCCAAAAAGTCAGATCGTTAAACAAGCCGTTTATCGGCCAAATGAATTCACAGCAAATATGAGTGATTCATTCGGTTTGCGATGAGTGTCTCTTTGGCATGCTCATTATATTGCAAATGAATTCCAACAATATTCAAACCCATTGTCAAAATATGATTTCCTCATTTTGACATCGGTTTTAGCGGTTGGATTTAATTGTTCAAGCGCATGCACACGGATTTTATCGCTTCAGTGCTGAAGTTAGAACATTCAAATTGTTTTGCGTCATGCGACCCAGCCATAGAAAAGAATATTCAATTCCATTTGGTCGATCAGTGAGACAATGATTAAAAAAAGTAGTACTTGTGGCGGCACCTAGCGAGTCCATACAACTTTCATATAGTTTGTTTATTGAAAAAATGGTAGGGGAAAATGTGGAGGGGAAGCAGTTTATTGAATTTATAGGCATACACGTTCCACTCGCCAGGAGGTAATGTAAACTGACTTTTCGATGACATTCAATATTAAAATATGCAAACATTGGCGCACTGGTTAGATTTGATAGCCTCTATGACTATGTTGATATTCTCTTTAAATACAAATTATTATATCGAGAGAAACAAATATCAGGAGTTTACAAAAACAGCAATGTTTCAACTAACGCAACCATAACTCGCATTGATTTGCACACTAATATGATGGTCAAACAAATCTATAGAATAGGATGTTGTTATGCTACGAACAAACCGTTGCCCTGAATCAGTTGTCATCGACTGAAAAGCTAATATTAATTGAAACTTTTGTTGGAAATGGAGAAAACATCATTACGAAACAACTTAGAACTGACGAACTACAACAATAATAACATTTCTAAAAATATTCCATCCAATATTGAATAAATGTATAATAGGCTAAGCAAAATCATCAAAGCATTTGTTGCACGTTGCCAGAAATGGCAAAGGATTTTTTTTGTTCAAAGGGTAGTTGAATCTAAGGCACAATCACCAGATTTTCAATTTCTCCTGAAACAATCAACTCAACAAAATCTGTCGCACAGAAAGCAGTTGTGCAGCCGTTCTGTTTGCACATCGGACTTTTTCGCATACACATCATCGTTCATCGTGTTTCATACAAACGAAGTCAGTACACAGACACGCGCGTGTATGTGTGTATGTATGCGCCGAACGCTCAAAGCCGAGTTCCGTACGAAGCATGGCTACAGTGATGGAATGAATTGCTAGAGAGCGTTCGGCACATAAGAAACACGATGAACGGACGATGTGTATGCGAAAAGGTCCGATGTGTAAACAGCTGCACAAGTGCTTTCTGTGCGACGCATTCTGTTGAGAATTTAAAAAAATTGAAATAACTAACCACGACGAATTTCGTTGCATTTTTCGAAAACGTTGTATGTCACCGCCAAAATATCTAGTGGTTTTTTCTGTTCTGAAAAGCGTAAAAAATGAAATGAAAGGCCAAGTTTCAGTTTGCTGCAAAGACTGACAATTTAATATTCAATCTGATTGTTCTACAATTTGTAAAGTTCTGGTAAATTTAACAAAAAGAGGATTTATTGGGATATATTGAATTTTTTCTTTAAGCGTACAATTACTTTTGCGATGTACTTAAGTTTTTAGTAATCGGTTCAAGAGCGTCTGTCGGCAATTGACGTTTTTTACGAAGCATTCCAACAGGCAAACTACCAGATTTATCAGAATTACTAGATGCACCGGACGGACCACTAGATTCACCTCCAGCCAAATCACCAACAGTATCAGTAAGACCCTCAAGCTGTGGAGATGGAGCAGCGTAAATGGCAGCTACAATTAATAGAATTGCGAAGAATACAATGAATTTCATCGTGATTAGTGGTTTTGTTTTCTTTAAACTGATTGTTTCAGAAGAAGTCAACTAACTGGTGATTATGTCTCAGATTCAACTGCCTTTTATACTAAATCGAAAAGAATTGGACAAACAAAATCCTTTGCCGTTTCTGGCAACATAAATATTTTGATGAATCTACCTCCAAAATATTTGTTCAATATAGAATGGGATGCTTTGTGGAATTTTATTTTTGTTTTGCTCATAGAATATACACACGCAAATATGTACTCAAGCGTACTGTATCTATTAATATATTGTTGTGCTGTGTGTCTAGCAATTGTTTATTCTCTAATTTAAACCGACCAAAATCGTATTAAAAAAATAGAAATTAATTCAAAAGTTTCCATCATTCGAAAGTTTATATAGACGATATATTTTTATTTAGACCTTTGTTATTGTAGTTCTTCCTGTAAAGAATTTATGATAATAAAGTAAATACTTGCAAATGTGGAAAATTTCGGCCGAATTTGGCATTGAGCGCGGAAAAACATGTTCAGACAGTTTTAGTTGATGTTCTTACGTGTGGCTGTTTTCATGAACTTAAAAAAAGACCCTATACAAA